GCTGTATTTTTCAACCCTTGGAATTGGGTTCAACTTAAAAACAGAAGGCCTTAAAACAGGGGTCCTCAAACTACGGCCCGCGGGCCACATGCAAATACAAATATTGTATTTGTTCCCTTTTTGTTTTTTTACTTCAAAATAAGATTACGTGCAGTGTGCATAGGAATTTGTTCATAGTTTTGTTTTTAAACTATAGTCCAACCCTCCAACGGTCTGAGGGACAGTGAACTGGCCCCCTGTTTAAAAAGTTTTAGGACCCCTGCCTTAAAAGATACCTGGCAAGGTCAGAATTAAAAGTTCAAGTAGCCATGCAACTTCCTTTACAGTCCTGACTCTTAGAACAGGGTGAAAACTTCTACAGTTAGAATACTTTTCTTCATTCTTAACAAGTGTAAGAAAAGGGAATTGTATAGTACAGGATTTATAAATTTACAATCTGTAATGATTACTCATTTAAAAGAACCTGAATTTCAAGGCAAGGTACATAATCCTAGCACACACATACATTACTCAAAACTCAGGGATTTTAACTTAATTCATCTAATAAAACTTTGCAAACTAATCTCTTTAATTGGGCAAAACATGTAAAGTGCTTAGAATGCAACACATTAACTGCTACATAAATGTTTATCTTCGGATGAAATAAAAAAAGGGATTCTAGTGCCAAATTATCAGACGCTATTTTTTCTGAGCCAAGTTTCATGAAAAGTGAAGCAACACAAAACTAGTATGTAACTCACAATGAAGAGGGTAATTTGAAACCATCTATTTCTAAGTAGCAGGCTTCACAGGCAAGTTTCTAATCCTTCACATAGGGTACTTAGATAATTATCTAATCAATTTTCCTTGAGCTTAACTATAATGCAATAGATGCAGCTTCCTAAAAAATGGAGTACATTCTTTGTTGCAAAGTAAACCACCTCACACCTTTCAGCAAAAACCCCCACTAAATTCAAATAGTAAAGACATCACCCAATGAATCAGGACACAAAGTTTTTTTGTGTTTATTGATTGGCTGCCTCCTGCACGCCCCCTACTGGGAATTGAGCCCACAACCCGGGCATGTGCCCTTGACTGGAATCGAAACCGGGACCCTTAGGTTTGCAGGCTGACTGTCTATCCACTGAGCCAAACCAGTTAGGGTGACACAAAGTTTTCAATGCTTCTTTAGGGGGAAGGGATGCCACACTTCTACTCAATTAAGAGAAACATTTTTATCAGCACAGAAGTCTTTTTTATTTTTTCCCACTTATCATGCCATGAATTCATAGGGAATGGGTTCCAGCAGCTCAGGCTCCTTTCCATTGGTTCTCACAAAGTGTGCTTCTCTGGGTGGAGCAGGCTATTAAAAACAAATAAAAACAAGGCAATGGAATAATTATGTTAAGAACTGTAACTCAGTTTCAAAGTTCTCTCACAATCAATGAGGTAGCATATCTACTCAATGCTTTAACTTTACTAACTTTCATATAAAAGAAAATTATCACTGAGCAAATTTCACAGTTGTCACGATCAACCAAAAAACCCTTTCTCAAGCACTCACCTGACGCTTCAGTTGAACCCAGGTACCTTTCTCTTTGGCTTCCTTCTTTTTCTGATCATTTTCCTTCACACGTTTCAGGAAGCTATCTCGGCTCTTAGAGTGCTTAATATGCTCAATACGTACATTAATTCTCTTGGCAAGAATCTTGCCCCTGGAGAAAACAGAAATTCTTATAAATGCTTCATAAAAAATATAACCAAATTTAAAAAAAAACTATTTTGGCAGTTTCATTTATGAAATAAACCATGAACCCTTTACCCACAGATAGGATAAGTTAACAGACCCCAAAACAATAAATAACCAAAACCAGATCGCTAATAAAATTTGTAACTTTTTATATTTTGGAAACTAGAACTGCCTAATACCAAATCCTGTAAGTCTATTTTGTTTCCTCTGACAGGATACAAAACAAGCACCCTGTTTGCGAGTTTTAAAAGGACATTTCCTTTGCCCCACTTGAATGACAAATAAGACATAAGTCCAATTGGCAAAGTGAAAAGGGGGTGTGAGGGAATACAAATCAAAGAATTATTACTTACTTAACTTGCTTGTTCACAATAATGCCCACTGCATGCTGGGTGACATTGTAGACTCTTCCAGTTTTGCCATGGTAACATTTGTGGGGCATTCCTTTTTGAACAGTGCCCATTCCCTGTTAAGAAAGGAGATAAACATCACCTCAGCAAGCGCCTCCTCCTTCTAAACCCTGACTTTTATTAAAGTAACTAAAAGATTTTTCTCTTTTAAATGGCAACTCAAGAGCTTTCAGAGCCGGTGAAATGCATTTTTCACATTGCTTTGAGCAATCAAAAAGACAATCATCATTAAGCTCCAGAGTGCCAGAATACATTCAAATATGGCTCTCAAAAGAACACAGCTTTCGCTGGTTTTATTAGTAATC